TTTCTCCAAGTCTGGAACTTGCTGTTCTTCCCTCTACTTAAAACTGCTGAGCCCAGATGTTTCGATACGGACTCTTATATCTGTTTTGTGTAAATTTTACGAAGCTGCTGCTCACATCAGGAACTGGAAGCAGCCCATCCCCATTTGTTCTCCAACCTTTTCAGCCCAGTGCAAATGGGTTTGTGGGTTGAGTCTACCAATTTCCTTTGTGATTTTTTGTCATTGTTAGTGTCAAGATAAGTTGGTAGGAGTTGCTCCAATACGTAGGAAGGCAATTCGTGCTGGAGCTGTTAGCGCCTACTAATACTTAGAGGTTTTATGCACTGCCTAATATATTTTATATAGGGTAGCTTTATAATAATGTTAGATGTATCCATACTTTATTCATTTAGGTATGAATAAAACTATAGCTATTTACCTAAATATTTCTATTTTGGCCTGGTTTACTGATAAGATATCTTGACTTCTCTTCCTTCTCCCCCTTCTTCCCTGTAATATAGATTGGGGCACTTTGCTATCCTATAACTGCTTTTTATGTCTGCCTCTTTTTATTACAATATATCATTTCCATATATTCTATATTATTATTCTGTGCTGTAAATGGCTGTAGTAAAGTTTAAATTCAAGGTATCACGTGCCCACCTGCCTTAAGTCTACTTCTGAATAGATTCATCTGGTCAGTTGAATGCATGAAATGAACTGGCATGGAAGTACTTTTCACCTTTGACAAACAGCAAAAAATAGCTTATTTTGGCCCTGGTTTAGCACTGAATGTGGCACTAGTTTTAAATCAGGAAAATGAAAATTACTGTGCTGTCTTTGATTTGCAATGCTTTTTTGGCTTAGCATATCTGGAGATGGGTGGCTTTCTCCTCAACCCTCTGGGTTGAATATCAGCAAGTCATACTCTGCTGGCTGAGTGTGAATGACAGGCAGGAGGAATTTTGGATCCTTAAAACAAGCCATAGGCAAATTCTTGTGGCCTTTTGGTTAGGAAATGTAACCAAAAAATAGAGTATTCTCTTTTTTTAAAAAAACACGCTTTGGTAGGGACTCTGGTAGTTTTAAGGCATATTTTACTAATAATACTATTAATTCATGGTTTAAGAGAACATGCAGTTTTTAGGAATCTTCTTATGATTCTGCGAAAACAGTAAACGATCAATCAATCATTACAAATTTCTAACAGAAGTTACTTCTGCATGTAAACTAGCAAGCAGAGCTGAGTTTTCTCTTACAATAACCATAACATGGATTTAGTTCTGTCAGACTTCTCTTTTGAAACGTTTACTTTTAATTAGGTATGCATTTATTTAAATTCAGATTTTCTAGTTTGTTTTCCCAGCGATAACATCCAACTGTGAATAACCCACAAACTAAAAACGTAAGTGTAAAACTAAAAAGGGTTGACAATGAAATAAGGTTCACTTGCACTTTAAAAAGCAATAAAACTAGTTGTATAAAAATGATCAGGAAGAGTAATTAGTTTTATGTTTATTATTTTAACAAAGTGAGAACCATACAAAATGTATTAGGTAGTACTCGAATTATGACCATTTCTTCAGCGACCTTTCAAATTTATGGCATTACTGAAAGAAATGAATTTGCAACCTGTGGCCGGAGGTATGGCTGATTCAGCGCCCCCATATTCATATGATCAAAATTTAGGCAAAGTGCACACGTCAATGGCTGTGCTCATGCATTGACGGGTGCGCATGTGTCGATGCGCGGGCGCACATTTGCGAACCGGTAGGGAAAGCAATAGCAATAGCAGTTAGACTTATATACCGCTTCATAGGGCTTTCAGCCCTCTCTAAGCGGTTTACAGAATCAGCATATTGCCCCCAACACCAATCCGGGTCCTCATTTTACCCACCTCGGAAGGATGGAAGGCTGAGTCA